TTTAAAAAAAGAAATTAAAATGTTTACTATTAACTAATATCTATATGTTTCTGAGAGGATGCAATTTTTCACAGGGAACTTATTCTTCCCATTAGGAAGCTAAGAGTCTTTTTTTTTTTTAATATTATGTGTGCCTACAACTTTTATTTATTTATTTATTTATTTATTTATATAAGCACTGGGTACAGTCAGAAGCGCTGGAGGGTGAGAGAATTCTCCAGAGTCAGAGCGGGGAGCAGAGCAGGCAGAAGGACCAAAGTACATTGCTGAGGGGTGCAGCAGGCGGCAGGAGAGGTCTGCGCACCATGTGGGACCCTCCTCTGGTGGCAGGGGAGTAGCCAGGGATTGAACCGGCGCTGCCGAGGCTGAGGGCAGCTTCGCAACCCAGCGCTCAACCACTGCGCCACCGGGGAGGCCCCAGGAAGCTAAGAGTCTTTGTCCGAGGTCAGCTACTTCTATGGGTGCTGACTCATTAGCATGTAGCACCTTGCATTAGCATGTAGCACCTGTATTGCTAATTGCAACAGTTTTGGGGATCAAAATCAGTGTGCCTTTTTCTCTAGCACCTGTATCCCTTGCTCACAAGAGAATTCCTGGCATGCAGCCGATGCTCAGTCAACATTGGACATATGGAACATATGGAAACATTATGCAAAGGTTGCAGTGATGTTGATTATCTTCCTAGAAAAACTTTTAGTCACATATACTAGTATATTTGAGGTGTGACACACACACACATGCATATACACACATATATGTATATACACATGTATGTATACACACTTGTATGTATATATGACAATATAATAAGAAAGAAGGAAGTAGGGTTTTTTGTGTGTATGCACTGGTACTAACACAAGACTTAATTGCAATAAGGTTGAGACCTCCTGCTGCAGTGTCTGGCTCACAGAGGAGCTCTCACATGGTAGAGACTGGTAATGGAAACTCTGGACTTTCTGGATTCCTTGGACTAGGTTAGATACTAGGGCAGGAGGAACAGCAGTGATGGAATTTCCTCAAAGTCCTCCTCATCTCATGGAAATCTGCTGTCTGCTTTTGATCATAGTCCAGCCTAGCTGCAGCAGATCTTCTAACAGAAGTCAGCTGTCACCATTCAATGGCATTTCAGAAGAGTATTCATTCCCTCAGATGAAGTATAACTCCACCCATCTCTACCAGTACTATGGCTGTTCAAATAAAACAGACTTCTAGTAGCTGACTTTGATAGAGACTAAAGGATGGATCCATTCTTCAGGCTTCCCATCCACAAAATGAGTCAAACATTAAATACACATTTCAATCCCTTCCAAATGGAACTTTCTATGTGATATGAAGGAGATTGTGGAATCAAACTGAAACAAGGGAGATTATCAAAGGCATAGAAAAGGACAGAAGAATGAGGGAAAACTCATGACAAAAATGATGATAAAGAAGATTTTCTACAGGTGGTGAGGGGGAACAGACATCTGAAGCCTGTGAGGTGTGACAAAGAAAGCTCAACATCTGCTCAGCGATGTTTTCTTATTGTAGTTTTTCTCTTTATACAATTGCCTTCAATTCATGGGCAAATTAAATCTGTTGATCTACTGAAGAAATGACTAAACCCATTTGTCTAAGGTGTTGTTGATATTCACAATGATGTCCAAACAGTCTAGTCCCTAGTCTGGTTTCCCACAGCATTTCGGTGGGTAACACGCAACAAAATATGTGGTTTCCCAAGCCTTTCTGAGAGTTGACCTGTGCCTGGGAGGTCCTGTGATTGGCAGAAACAGGTATCAGGCAGCAGCAGTATCTGCATATGCTCATGCTGGAAAGCTACCTCCACTTAGTCATGGTCACCCCAGAACAATCAGGGCCAGGGTTGGGGTGTCAGTTGCCATTAGACTCTCATGAGCCCCTGGCATTTGAAAATGGGGGTGCTCCTCAGATGATGAGGATAGTGTGATGACTGGACCCACTCTTTATTTATTTATTTTTTTAAAATATTTATTTATTTATTTATTTATATAAGCACTGGATGCAGTCAGAAGCGCAGGAGGGTGAAAGAATTCACCAGAGCCAGAGGGGGGAACAGAACAGGCAGACTGACGAAATACACAGCTGAGGGGAGCAGTGGGTGTGGCAGGAGAGGTCTTTCGCTCCATGTGGGACCCTTGCTGGCGGCTGGGGATAGAACCAGCACTGCAGAGGCTGTGGGCAGCTTCGCAGCCCAGTGCTCAATCACTGAGCCACCAGGGAAGGGCCCTTGACCCACTCTTTAGAGGGGGTCAACTCTATTTATTATAGAGCTGTGGTTCCCAGTGACAGGGTCACAAACATCTGGAGGTGTGAGAGTTATTACTGAGCAGCCATAGGGCACTGAATGTGTATAGATCTCTATGTGTAGATGAAGGTCCAGGCTAAATAAAGAAGCACATGTGTGTACACATTATTTTTGCAGTGGGTATAGATACTTATGCATTGAATGAAATAGCCACTTAAAATATTTACCTAAATTACAACTATGTAATTTAAAAAATACAAATAAAAATGTTATGAGTATAATTATGAACATGTAAGAATACAGAATTGTATGTATATCTATGTTTGTGTGAATGTGTGTGTGGACAGAGCTTATGTGGGTTTTTTTTTTGATCATAAAATTTGGGAATTAATATTTTAAAACCTGTCACACATGAGATTTGAGAGCATCCTAAAAATAGCAAATAAAAAGCACATGGTTGGTTGCCAGTGGCAAAAACCATGTGATTAGAGGACTGGAACTTTCTTTTTCTTTCTTTTTTTTCTTTCTAAAGATTTATTTGTTTATGAATACAAGAACTGGGGTATAAGCCAGAGGTGTGGGGGGATGAAAGGATCCACCAGAGACAGAGTGGGGAGCAGAACGGGGACATCTACTGAAATACACTGCTGAGAGGAGCAGCAGGTGAGGCAGGAGAGGTCTGCTGCACCATGTGGGTTGCTTCCTGGCCGGCTGGGATCGAACTCGTGCTGCAGTGACTGGCAGTAGCTTGATAGTGCTGTCTTTAACCCCTCTGCCACCAGGGAGGCCCAGGACTGGAACTTTCAATCACACATACACCCCAACTTCTGGAAAAGGGGAGAGGTACTGGAGCTTGCCTCTAATACTCATGGCCAATGAGATGGTCAGTGATGCCTATCTAATGAAGCCTCCAAAATGCCTGATGGACTGGGCTGTGAACCCTGGTGGTGAGTTTGCTGGGTGGTGAACCATGATGTTTCCATGTACAATCATCTCAGGTTCCAAACCTCACAAGGCTCCTTACTTCAGGACTTCATCCTATGTGTCTCTTCATCAGACTGTTCATTCATTTCCTTTAATATCATTTGTAATAATTCAGTAACCCTGATAGTTAACAGGTCTCCTGGTTTTCATGAGCTACTCTATCAAAAATAATTGAATCCAAGCAGGGGACTGGGAACTGCCAATCTAATCAGTTGATCAGAAACACAGGTCACAAAGCCGGGTTTGTTTTTGGCATCTGAAGTGGCAGGCGGTCTTGTGAGACTGAGTCCTTAATGTGTAGAAGAATCTGAGGACATCTTCAGAAATGAGTGAATTGAGAACTGATTCAGGATGGAGTTGAACTGCAGGACTATTGAATTGTTAGTGTTTGGTGGTAGGGAAACCCCTCACCCATTGAAATGTCAATATTCTACTTCTCAGATTTATTATGGGTATAGAGTATGGAGTGTCACTATGGGTTTATAAATAGGAAGGCACAAGTGAATTTAATGTCTTATGCCTTAAGGTAAAGTATGACAATTATACAAATTGGGAAATAAATATCAAGAAGTGGTTTCAAACAAACTTTAATAAGTCAGTTTATATATATTAAAGCTATCATAGATTTATTCAAATGAAAGAAGCTTTATTATACTTTATTATACTAGTTAACCCAAAACTCAGGACTAGAAGAAAAATTAATTATTTATTCCTAGATAATGAAGACAAAATTAAGTGTAGTTAAATGCTAACTGTTCTTTAATGGAAATTATAAACATAATAGAATTTCACATTTAACTACAGGCAGAAGTGTTATTAAACAAACAAAACCAAGCTCCAGTTCTCTCAGGCTCTTGATTTAATTATGCTCAGTCTTTTAACCCAGAGATTTCCACACATGTCTCCATTTCATCTGCTCAGTAGATTGTATCTTCACAAAACATGGAAGAGTTTTTTGACGGACAAAATAAAGTAGGCTGACTGTTTAAAAGAAAGTCACGCCTGGTTTCTGACAGGATTTCAGCTTTAGAAGAGTCTCTCCAAGCTTTGTATAAATGCCAACACTCAGAAAACCATTCAACCTCCCCCCTAACCCCCCCACAACTGCATTGAGACAAGCCAGGACTGTAGAAGAAGGTCAAGTTACACACAAAGCAGCTAGGTTCACTTCTACCAACAACAGCCAAGGGTGTGCATGAACAAAAAAAGTCATCTAATAGAAATTAAGAGCAATGATTCAAGTGCTATTCACAAAGAAGTGGGAGTTGGTGGGGGATATTAGGTAATAAATGTAGGAACATATGGCCAAATGAAAATTTTTGGCTGGTACATGAATCCATGAAGGAAACTTGAATAATTAAGTATAATATGTAGAATAAATTAATTCCAAAATGGTCTAGTTCTTAAATTGTTTGCTTAAAGGAAATTTTAAAAGACAGTTTAAAAACTTAAAAAGTAATGAATTAATTCAAGACAAATGAGATGAGCAATACTGGTTCTAAAGAACAGAATTATAATGAGAGAACATGCTGATAATCCTATCCATATTTATAAATCATTCACTTGAAACAATGTAGTTTCTCTTCATGAGGTTTAGATTTCCTCTCCTGTCAGCACAGTATCTGAGAATATTGAGCCAGTAACTCAACAAAACCTCTTATAGAAAGTCTAAATGTTAAATTTAAAACTTCCTCTATAAGGTTTTTTTGTAATAGAAATTCAACAGCAAAAATGAGTGGGTGATAGCTCTTACCATCTCCTGGGTCAACAATCTCCACTGTGATCACTGCAGGGAATTCCAGGGCAGCCAGCACCGGCTCTGAGAGAACCACCTGGAAGGTTTCAGATTGCTCGTGTTCTCCATCACTCACGATCCTCACTCTCCACGTGGCCCTGGTCTGGCCAGGGTTAAACTGCACTTGTTTCTGTGCTTTGCCCTTGAAGTCTTTGTCTTTTTCTGCAGTCCCATCTTTGGTGCCAATACCTTCAAAGAAACACAATATCGTTTTCAATTGGACTACTAGAGTTTGTTAATTTTTTTTTGTATGTCACTTTATCCTGAAATGCAAGGTTGATCTTCCTTTGATTTCACAAAATGGATACTTGGGTATGGGTCTTATGATCAAGGAGTTCTAGGGTAGGGGCCTCCCTGGTGGCACAAGGGGTAAGGACAGCAGCCTCTGCAGCACAAGTTCAATCCCCAGCCAGCCAGGGAGCTACCCACATTGCACAACAGACCTCTCCTGTCTAGCCCTCTGTTCTCCTCAGCAGTGTATTTCAGTCAGTCTGCCTGTTCTGTTTCCCACTCTGTCTCTGGTGAATCCTTTCACCTCTGGCCTATACCTCAGTTCTTTTGTGCATAAATACATAAATAAATCTTAAAAAAAAAAAGCTCTAGGGTAGATGTAGAGCAGTTCATGATTCCATTGGAATCTTGCCCCAATTATGGTTTTGCTATCTATTCTTTGGGCTAGGTTTGTGTTTTGTAAAACAAGGCTAAATCGATATTTGTTTCTCCTACATGTTCATACAATCTAAAACTCTTCACAACACTCTAAAATTCTTTACATTTACTTTTGCATATGTTATATTTCATGCTTCAGGTTATAAACAACATAACGAAAATTCCTACTTAGAAAATAAAAACCAAGAAGAGACTTTGTGAGTCAAAGAATATTCTGATAATCTAAGTCATCAAAGGCCAAGCATAAAAAATTATAATTTTCCCTAAACATTTAATGGATCAAGACCCTTAAGAGAATTTAACTCTGTGCTTGTTAACATCAACACTGTCAGGTTTTCCTTCATGGACACACCAAAATTACAGAAAACCATGTGAGTAGTAGAAAGCTAAATATGTATGGTTATGATGGGGAGTATGTTTGGCTTACTTTGTTGGCTCATTCAAGGTCAATTTCAAGCCAGTTTCTAAGTACATTACAAGAAAGCTTCACTATTATTATGCTATGTAGTCAAATCATAGAATATATTATTTACACCAGGGAGTAACAGTCAACAAATTTAATGTCACAGAAAAATTACAGAATTACAATATACTCATCCTAACATGTCCTGAAGTTCTGCATTAGAATCTCTTAGTGAGTTAATAGAACCAAGTTTTAAATATATGTTTTTAAACACTAATTTTTTAGAACATTTGGTAGGAAAGCTTTAAAAAGAAATAAAATCTAATGACCCAGAATTAAAACATTCTTCATATTGTTTCTCATTTACTTGAAAAACTATCACATTTTTAAACATTCCTTTTGTTCTTCAAACTAGAACTCAAGCCATAAAAATTCATTGAGTGAGGGCCTACTCTGTGCCTATTCTGTTCTAAATACTGGGATTATATCAGTGAACAAAAGAGAAAAAAAAAAATCCTGCTCTTGTTGTGCTTATACAAGATGGATCTGAATGTTTATTCATCTAAATATACCACTGACTGTTAGTTTCATCTAAAAAAAAATGAAAGTAAAACTTTCGTTAAGATATTTCTGCCTTATAGATTTCAGAAACATAAATGGGATAAAACAGCAGGTACAACATGATTTATATAATGGCAAAAGAAGAAATGGCACAGAACCAGGAAATCAAGCACTACATGTTTTGCTGAATGTTCCAGACTTCCTGTTAGCTCTCTGGTTCCTAATGCACACAGGGTGGTTGTCAACACCTCTTAGATCCACCACAGTTCACTGCCAAGGTGAAGAAGAAAGGAACCATTTTCCCTGAGACCCAGCATTCATTGACCCATCCCCAGTGGCATGAACAGCAAATGAATCTGCTGGTCAGGCTCTGGGCTACTGCACATTTTTCATTTTGTTTTGTTTCACCAAAAACATATTATTTTCTTGGAGATTCAAAAGGTACGTTTTTTTTTTTTTAAAGGAGTTGATAGACTACAAAAATGTCCACTACTGGGCCTCCCCGGTGGCGCAGTGGTTGAGCGCTGGGTTGTGAAGCTGCCCGCGGCCTCTGCGGCGCCGGTTCGATCCCCGGCTGCTCCCCGGCCACCGGAGGAGGGTCCCACATGGTGCGTAGACCTCTCCTGCCGCCCACTGCTCCCCTCAGCAGTGTACTTCGGTCCTTCTGCCTGCTCTGCTCCCTGCTCTGGCTCTGGTGAATTCTCTCACCCTCCCGCGCTTCTGACTGTACCCAGTGCTTGTATAAACAAACAAACCATCAAACAAACAAACAAATAAATAAATAAAATGCCTCTATAAAAAAAAAATGTCCACTACTTCTAAATAATCACCTTTTCTCAATGATAGTCAAATCACCCAATCTAATAAAAAGTAAGTTGTAATCCCAAATCCCAACTGATGTTGCAAAAGCCCCCATAACTTTTCTGGTAGATATGATAAGTTTCCCAATCAGATATAGATTACAAACTGACATTTTTGTTTCACCAAGCAAAAAAGAATGGTTATGAAAAAGATGGTTGCCTTAAAACGCTTCTAAAACATGAGATTAAACTAAGAAGGATGTCATTTTCTTAAGGTAAAATAAGTTCAAGATGGAATAATAAAATTGCTTTGGGTCAAAAACAGTGACTCCCTTTTTAAAATTAATACACAGACTTACTCTGAGAGAGTGCTACTCTATCTTGTGACTTACTGTATGGTCCAGAGACCAGCAACACGAGCAACATTTGGGAGCACCTTAGAAATGCAGAATCTCAAGTCTCACCAAGATATACTGAGTCTGAATCTACATTTCAGGAAGATGCCCCAGTAAGTCTTAAGTATGTTGAAGTCTGAGGGCGGGCAGACACTTATTAACACTTCATAACCTCATCAGTCCCTTTTATAGAGATGCTTAATGAAGAGGCCTACATTGAGTAAATGTTCAACAACAGGTAGCAATGAGATCTTTGAAATTCAAATATTTTGTGAGATGCAAATGCATTTTTAATTCACTAATGGGTTATGGGAGTTATAAAATACGTAATCATTTCTGAGAAAATATATAGAGAAATTTCACCACACGTTTCTTCTGCTATACAAAAGTATAGCATTCCTATGAAACCCACTGTAAACTGAAACAGTGTAAAGAGAAGAAACAACTACCATTAATGGATATGGAAAATTTTTTGAGTGTTCCAACACCTTTAAAACAGCCTACCAAATCACATCAAGAAACACATAAAACCAAAAATAACACTAACACATAAAAGAAGTAGGAGTGATGTGATAAATATATAGCTCAGATAAAGCAGTTCCCAGGGGAGGGGCTTGGTGTTCCTCTCACTGCTTGGTGGTGCACAGAGCCTCCACGACAATTTGCTGCAAAACAGATGCTGAATGCTATCTTCAGTTTTTCTCTTTTATCATAAAAGCAAAACTCCTCTTCAGATTTCTTTGGTTAGCAAAAACAGGCACTCGTGTGGGTCTCTCTCTGATGAAAGTGAAATGGTGAAATGTGAACTTTCATAAAGTGGGAGATACCTGTATTCATAATTCACTAACTGTGCTCATGAAGGTAAGTGATATTCTGTCTTCAGATACAATGCAAATAATTTATATAGTTATTTATATGAAGGTGGAGATTGTAGTGGAATATTACATGATCACTAAAAATCTTCTACCAGGCTAACCCTGCCATCCATCCCCAGTCCTAGCACGAATTCCATTGCCATCTGCAATGATTGACAGTTATGTCCACACACAGAAGCGTTCCAGCTTTCTCCCACTCCAGGCTAGGAAGCAACCATGGGAAGTTAACCAAGTAGAGTTGTAGAATCTTTCTAGAATAGGAGGTGCTGATCTCTGGAGGGGGGAGGAAGAACTTTTGTTTGCCATTTTAGTATTCAGCTTAAGAAAAAAGCAATAGAGAGAAAAAAATCAGAAAAGATAGTTTAAAAATACCCTGTCATTAACTTCCCCATGGTTATCGATGGATGGGCTATTTGTGAATGAGTAGGTAGATAGCCTCACTGGGAGAGGATATTCGTGTAATGCCCAGAGGTGATGATGACATCCTTAAGAATTGCTAAGACTCTTTTTTAGAAGTTATTACTTCCCCTATTTTCAAGCAGAAACATAGTTAAGGCTAATTTCTTAGTGACGGGATCAGATTCCTGCTATGCAGATCATGTGTATGGTGAGAGATTATGCTCTTAACAAAGAAAAGAGCATTCACCATGTTCCAGAAGGTGAAACACAGAGAGTGTAAATGACAGCCTGTGAGGAGGTGCATAATAATAGAGAAGGGAGACCGGCTGCCCTGGCTGTGGCATGGGTGAGCCGGTGACCCAGAACCCTGGCACCAGAGTTCCCTGAAAGGGATCAGCAGAGTATAGGATGAAAACTTTTAAAGTTAAAAATGAGACTTCTTTAAATTTTGAAAATAAAAGGCAACTAATATTCAGAATGAAAACATATCAGAAGAAATCATAATGGGCATATGAGATCGTGGCTCTGGCAAAGATCTAGTGTAGGGGTGTGTGTGTGTGTGACTGTGTGTATGTGTGTGTGAAACATCTATTGTTTAAGACTTTTGAATTGCATGGACCAATTATTGCTCAGGGTGCTACTATTTCTCATCAACATTTTGTGCTGAATATATTACTGGTTAAAATGATCAATGTACTTTACTTTGCTTTATTTTACACTTGCATGAAATTGAATGTGACCTGGCATTGGAATTGAAAAAGTTAATACTTCTGCGTTTTAGTTAAAAGAGTAAAAGATCAGAAAATGATCAGTGCTTTACAACCTTATTGTTAATTATGAAGAAAAGCCACAACACATATTTCTACTTAGAATTGGGGTTCTTAAAATTTTTTGGACCTATCAGAAAATTAAAGTGCAACAAAAAGAAATTATACTTTAAAGGTTAATACTGCCTAATAAGTTACTGAACAGATTTTTTTGGTTTATATTGAAGTAGCCTTCACATACATTTTACATTGATATTTCAGCAGACTTTTACCTTTGGATAAAATAGAAATTTGCCTAAGTTGATTATAAGATATATTCATATATAAATATTTTTTTAACCTATGAGTACTTACTACCAGTTTTGTAAAGCTATTTTTATATAAGAGAAAGAAAGATCTTATATTAGTAGAAGGTTTGTAGAGTTATGTGTTTTTGTTACACATTTCTTTCTGGTTTTTGCAGTCTTTTGTCTCTGTGATTTAGCTTTGATACAAAAGTTTTGACATTTTTTTTTTTTTTTTAGCAAAGAGCCTTGACATGTCAACATCTCCCAAAGGTTTAAAACTAGAACAGTAAACTAAACATATTTTTGATCACTGTAAAAAATGATGAACTTGTGCTAGAAAATGAGATTTTGAGATAGCAGTGTGAATGAATCTTACTTATAAATGAAGTTTCTCCCAAGTAACCTCGACGTTTAAGTACAACATCTAGAAATTTGGAGTCCTCGTTGATGAGGTAATACTCCTTTTCGAAGGAGATCCAAGCCCAGTTCAGACGAAAATGCTGCTTGGTTAACTTGTTTCCACCTGCCAAAAAAAAAAAAAATTAAAACTCAAATTAGTGCTTTCCAGAATGATCTTAAAGATTCCAAAGGCTACTTTATTTTTTTTTTTTATTTTTTTTATTTTTTTTATAGAGGCATTTTTATTTATTTATTTATTTGTTTGTTTGTTTGTTTATACATGCACTGGGTACAGTCAGAAGCGCGGGAGGGTGAGAGAATTCACCAGAGCCAGAGCGGGGAGCAGAGCAGGCAGAAGGACCGAAGTACACTGCTGAGGGGAGCAGCGGGCGGCAGGAGAGGACCCTCCTCCGGTGGCCGGGGAGCAGCCGGGGATCGAACCGGCGCCGCAGAGGCTGCGGGCAGCTTCGCAACCCAGCGCTCAACCGCTGCGCCACCTGAGAGGCCCACCCAAAGGCTACTTTAATGAGGAAACAAATCAATATAGCTACTTGGTTAGATACACATCTAGTTTATGTAGGAGAGGTAGCTTACTGTCAAGTTATTGTTATGCAGAAATACAGTGGCTGAGGTAATCTTTCACAGAATTCCATACTATTTTAGGAGGAGAAGAGGTTAAAGAGGAAGAAACACACAACTATCAGAGGCAGTTTTGTTGACTCATTTAATAAGGATCCAAGCTGCAGGATGACACACTTGCCACAAGGTGCCGTTGAAGAGCAAGTTTTACTGTGGCGAAGGCTGCAAGGCTCATTTGGCTGTTAAAAACACACAACTCCACAAATACCCTTTTCTGGTTCACAGAGCAATTGGATGGAAGGCTTTAATTATAACCACTTAAGAAAAAAACAAATATCCTTTCTTTACCTCCCTTCCCCACTATAATCTACTTCATTCCCTAGAGCAAACAGACAGCTCCTTTCATTGATTCCATTCTAATCTGAAGATAAGACTGTCCCCTCCCACCTTCACACTAAAATAGCTGGCTGCCTATCAGGAAAAAATAAACCTTGTGTGTGATCTCTCTAATGTGAGAGCTGCTAGGCTTGGTAAATGAAAGGAGAAATGGTTATCAGCTGATCATTCTGCAGTACCCTCCCTCTGCTTCCTTTGATCTACACCAATTATTTCAGAGTAAGGTGAGGTTTATAAACAAAAGGCATACATAATTTCTTTTAAGCCTTTAGGTAAATGGGAAGGGAAAAGGCCCAAATAATAAACAGAGCTAGAGGCACAATTTTAATCCGAGTTTCTTTTCTTTGAGTTCACACAGATGAGACAGGAAAACATCGAGACTTGAATAGACTGAGGGCAAAATTCGGCACAAGAGGAAACATTGTGAGTGAACAAATGTGAAAAAATGTTCAGCTTGGCTGGAAATTCTTAAAAATAAATTACAGCAACTTTGCATTAGCACCTGATGTATTAAAGATTAAAGGGAATACCTAGTACAGGAATGCTTATGCATGGAAATTGGTTTTCTTGTTCGTTGTTGCTTGAATTGTAAATTAGCACAAGTCTTCTAGACAGCTATCTGGCAATGTGTGCAAGGGACAAACAGATGTTCTTACCATTTGACCTTGTAAGTTTCTCTGTGGGAGAAGCAAACATGTATTTACAAACAAATAGTCATTAAAATATTTCTCTAACAGTCTGCAAGCTAAAAATTTTGGAGTTTACGATTTATGGGCTAGCAATGAGTGCTATATTATTCATCATTAAACAATAAACATGAACTTTTTGTATAAATACTTAGAGCACTTAAAGACAGACACAAATAGCACTGATGCTGTACACTTAGCTATAGAAAATGGGGCATTATAAATGTGGAACAACTGGGTTTGAAATAGATGGGACTGTGGTATTTAATCTTGATGGAATTTCTTAATTTTCAAAATGTAAAATATAAACAGACTGGAGAGCAGGGATTTCATTATAGATTTTGTCCTTGTGAACTCTTCCTGCTTAATGTGTCCTGGATGCTGAGAGCTGTTGTGGCAAGGAAAGAGCCACAGACGGTGGGCCCCCAAGACCCGGAGTGATAAGGTCCCCCATACTCTGTCTGTGGTTTTGCTTCCAGCAAGTTTCTTCCTTACACTTATTTCCTCAGCTGGAGAGTCCAATGAGAGTAATAAAAATAAATGCTTGTGTTTCCTGTGAGCATCAAGTGAGATAAACCACATATGTACACAGTACAATGTCATCCAACAAGTGTTAGTGAGTGCTCCTTGCTACGTGGGGCATGTAGCGCTTCCTGCTACGTGGTGCAGCTCAGATCTACCTGAGCACCCACCGCCGGGCTGCTAGTCAGCTGCCTTAAATCCACCTGCACTCAGTCCTCAGTGGCCTTTCATACCAACACAAGTCTCTTCTTCGCAGACTCCCAGCTGCGCTCTGCCCTCCTCTGTCTTTTCCCAGTGCCCTCTACTCTGCTCACCCCACCATCCAGCCGAGAGTCTTGCCACCCGTGCTCCCTGTCATCTGTCTTCTCACCTACACCGTGACCCCAGGTTCTTCTGCTCACCATCTATACCCCAGAGGCTCCCTTTCTCTACCTCCTTCATGGAGTCTCTTGCAGTGACCCCAGCCTTTCACCTCTTTAAGATTCTATAGCTAATTGATGACTTTGTACAGTTTTACACTTCAGTGGATATTCTCTCATGTTCTTTAAACTGTCCTATTTGACTAACTATATTAATTTTGTCAGAGATTGAGAGCAGCTATATGTTCTTTTACTATTGCCAATACTTGGTCTTATTGTCTTTAAAAATATCTTTTAGGGCCTCCCTGGTGGTGCAACGGGTTAAGTGTCAGCATTATAAAGCTATCTGCAACCACTGCAGCACAAGTTCGATCCCTGCCAGGGAGGTGACCCAAATGGCACAGTAGACCTCTCCTGTCTCGCCCGCTGCTCCCCTCAGCAGTGTGTTTCAGTCAGTCTGCCTGTTCTGTTCCCTGCTCCGTCTCTGGTGAATCCTCTCACTCCCACCCCCACACCTCTGGCCTGTACTCCAGCTCTTGCATGCATGTATGCATAAATAAATAAATCTTTTAAAAAATCTTTTAAAATTATTGTGTTTATGTCTTATTTACTTATGTCCTGTTTACTTGCTCTAGAAAGTATCAGGAAACGAATAGGAAAAGAAGGATATCAGTTAATACATAAAACATCTGATTTTTCAACTGATTACATGAAAACAACTTTTTGCCACACTTCTGTCTCATTTATATTGCTGACCCAATGAGCTCCGGATTTTATTTCAAATCTCTTATCATGCTTATACCACCAAGTCATTCCTCATCCATCCAAACACCTATAGCTTCACAGCCTACACTTCTTGCAGAGAAACTTCTATTAACACCCAACTTCTGTTTTCTGAGCATGATGGATACCTTTGTATATGTTATGTCTTCTGCCCAGAATATCCTTAGCTTTTCTGTTCCTCCTAGCAATCCAGATAGGTCCAACTCACCTAAGGTCAGGAAGCCTGGTTAAGCTTGACCGTGGCTTCTCTGTGAGACCAGAGTAATTGTAATTCTTCATCTACACACCTGTGTCTGTCACTAATTGCCTGAGCTCCCCAAAGTAGCCATGTCTAAATTCATTCTACTAATCTCCAAGTTCAATGTAGTGTCTGAGACACGAGGACTAGAGGCTAATTCTTCTTCATAGAAGAAGCCTACAGACTAAATATGATTTTTAGCAGTAAAGTGGCTATTGTATGACTCCTGTTTGTTTTAGTCCTTTTTTTTTTTTTTTAAATTTTTCAGCTTATGCTGACAAGCCACATATTAGTTTTATGGGATTTGTGATGAACAAGCTCTAACCTATTCACTAACTCTTGTATTTAACAAATTTTATTTTATGGTCTGTATAATTCATTCCTTACTATTTCTCCCAAGGAGACATCTCTAAGATGACTAAGCATGTGGCTTCTCTCTCAAGATTTTGACAATTTTTTGGTAGTTTTAAGATTAAATTCTAACCCTGTCCTGAAATATTGCAGGAAATATTATTCTCCCTCTTAATAATGTATGTTACAATAATATTGAAATAATGAGACCTTCCCTTTACACTCTTTATAAAACACCAAGCCCCAATTCAAACCTCAGCATGCGCTAGTGCCTTTATTTTGGTTAATTTTTCTCTCCAGTGCTTCCCACAACCTCATATTCTACATGTTTCCTTTTTTATTTGTTCACTTTCTCTCTTTCCCTACTGTAATGCATGAGCCAGGGGGGCAGGGATTCATTTTACTCATTGTTGGAAAAATGCCTATTAAATAAACAGATAATGAATCTAGAGTTTAGAACAGAAATGAATAGTAAACCACCTATTCAATGAATTAAACATTCTGATGTCCTGGTTGAAAGAAATTCTGTAATGTTTCATTTATTGGAAAATATATAAATGCCTTATATGTGTGTAACACATCTCATGATAACCTTTCTAAAATGTCTTGCCTGTCTTTTTTGAACACTATGAAAAGACTTTAAGTGATTACCTCTAAATTTGTGCTTATCTGATGCATTAACCTGCAAGCGGTGTGGGTGTCTACTGTTTAACCCTTGTATTCCACTATGAAGTAGCCTGAATGGCTTAGAGATAGCCAAGTTCATCTCTGCTTACATGTGTCAAATATATTTTCCAGTTGGTGCTGATGTTCTGGAAGGATGAGGGTGCAAGGTTACTGGTTAATTATGGGTTTCAAGTGACACACAACTGAACGAGCTTGTCAGGATTTCATATGTCTGTCACTTTGACATTTCATTTGAAATAAAATTCAGAAACAATACCGAGAAACTTTTTGTGAGACACTGATATGCCTTAGGGTAATTATTTTAGATGCTTACAAAACTGTCTGGTTTATACACACATGAATCCTATTGTATTTCAAAATTTGTAAAATCTTATGTACTACTGATTTTGGAAGAGTATACAGGAATTTGGGGAACTAAACTTGTAATTTCCTGTAACTCTTGTTATTAAAACTCACCTTGTACAACTGAACTCTTTAAGAATAGAAATACATGCTATTTATTTGTTTATTACATACCATGTAA